CTGAGCCACCTGGGAAGCCCAGAGACCAAGTGTGGGAGTCCCGGCTCTGGAGCCCTGTGACCCCCTTGCCATGCTGGCTCGCCTTTAGGGGCTCTGTGGCCTCAGAGTCTCTGTACTTGCTTGTCTCTCTTTATGGACACTTTCTTTAGTAGTTCCTATTTGTTCTCAAAACAGAATCTCAGCTTTTACTTTTCTGAGATAAAAAAGCTGCTTTTTAAAAACTTTGCATTTTGCTGATTCGTTTGTTTGGAGCTAGCAGTGAAGCTTAGCATATAAGACCCAGTTCCTGCTCTCAGGGAGTTTAGAACCAGCTAATACATGACTGACTGTGGTAAGTTGTGAAGGGAAAATCAGGGGCCTAAGAGATTGTAAATGGAGAGGCATTTAGAAAAGGCATAATATTGCCTGCTGCTGTACCTTGTGCCACCGCCGTGCATCACCTCCTGACTGGATCCGTGTAGTAGCTTTCTGACTTCTCTGGACTTCTGCCCTTTGCACACCTGTGAGTCAGTTTTCTGCAGAGCATCCGAGGTGACTCTGAAAATAGTTTCGCTCGTGTTAGTCTTGTCCAGACCCTTTGGTGCTTCCTCCTCTTGCTCAGTACTGGAAGCCGCAAGTCTCACAGATTGCACTTGAGGCATCTTTACTTCCTTGATTTCATCTCCTGCTGTTTTCTGCTATGCTTGCTCTCCAGCCACATCCTCCTTATTGTGCAGAGCTATTTTCAGGCATACATTTGTCTCGGATTCCTGGCACTTGTTCTCCCCTTGACTGGTGATGCTTTTCCACACATCCCATCACTTCCTTCATGCTCTCTCTATTATACATGACATTAAATTTTTTTTTGTTTATTTTACTTTCATGTAGTCCAATGACTATGTTATTAAAAAAAAACAAAAAAACCTATGCCTTTTCACATCACCCCATACACATGACCTTATCCCTCTCACCTCTATATTTCCCATTGCATTTAGCACTATCTCCTATTCTGCATTTTTACTTAATCTTGTTTTGCCTCCACCTCTAAAAGTAAGCTTGACAAGCGTGCAGATTTTTTAACGTTTATATACTGCTGAATTCCTAGGTTGTAGAACAGTGTTTGTTGCATAGCATACTGTTAGTATGGGCTTCCCAGGTAGTGCTAGTGGTAAAGAACCCGCTTGCCAATACAGGTGTCATAAGAGACTCGGGTTTGGTCCCTGGGTTGGGAAGATCCCCTAGAGGAGGGCATGGCAATCCACTCAAGGATTCTTGCCTGGGAAATCTCACGGACAGAGGAGTCTGGCAGGTTAGCGTCCTTAGCGTTGCAAAGAGTTGGACATGACTCAAGCGACTTAGCNAAAAATGGTATCTTTTGAAATGTTTATTTCTTTGATCACTCATGATATTTAACATTTTTGCATGTTTGTTGGCCATTAGTATTTGCTACTTATAAATTTGTTTTCTATTGAGATGTTCTTTTTTTTTCATATATTAATAAGAGCTTTCAAGCTTTAAGACTATTACTAGTCGAAAACAAGATAGATAAAAAATAAGTGGTGATAGGACACACTGCTGTGTGAGATCACTTTAATGTTGATGTTAAAAACAAACAGGGGAGGGGCGATCAGGATGGGGAACACATGTAAATCCATGGCTGATTCATGTCAATGTATGACAAAAACCACTACAATATTGTAAAGTAATTAGCCTCCAACTAATAAAAATAATTGGGGAAAAAAAATCAGTACATACATTAAAAAAAAAAGTAAAAAAAAAAGTAAATGAATGAGGACAAGAAAAATGGGAAATTTTGGTGGAAAAGTTTCTGGGTGAAGGAGAAAAAAATGGGTGAATGCCCTGAGCCAGGAGAGAGCACAGAATCTTAATGCCTACAGTGTGTAGTTAATATTAGTTGAGGCTGGAAAATTGGGTAATGAATGATATCACAATTTTTGGATGGAATTATAAGTATAGTGGACATCCAAGAATACTCTCCTACATAACCACAGTACAGCTTTCATAGTCAGGAAATTGACATTGACTAAATATTACCATTTAATCTGTTCTACTCATTCAAATTTTGCTGACTTTCCCATTAATGTTTACAGGTCCAGTATCTAATCCGAGATCTTGCATTGCATTTAATTGCCTTTTTAGTCTCCTTCAATCTGGAACAGTTCATCGGTTTTTCAAGACTTTGGCAGTTTTGAAGTGTAGGTACAGGCTGCTTACTTTGTAGAATGTCCCTTAGTAAAAGGGCTTGCCTCTATTTTCTTGGATTTTATGCATCTTGGGGCTGTAGTACCAACCCAAGTGAATGCTGTGTTCTTTTTAATGCACATTAAGAAAAGCATGAGGTTGATTTGTCCCATTGCTGGTAATATTTGATGTCTGTCAGTTTGTTAAGATGGTTTCTGCCAAAGTTTTTGACCTTACAGTTAATAAGTTATACTAAGTAGTAAGTATTTTGTGGGGAGATACTTTGAGATTCTGTAATATCCTCATTCCATCAAACTTATGTTATAGCTTCCATTAATGATTTTACCTGAATCAGATACTATATTATGAAAGGGGCCACATTGTGACTTCCCTCACTTCATTGTTTCTTCTATATTCATTAGTTGGCATCGTATATTAGGGTAGAGTTTTCCCTGTTAGCTTGTTTGTTTTGTTTACTTTAGAATGATCTTACTTTCCTCAGTGGATTATGACTTGCTATTTATTTGAATTATTCTGGACTTGGCTAGTGGGAGCTGCTTTCAGCTAGTTCCTGTATACTTTTGACATTTCCTCCTCATGTTTTAAGTACTTCCTTAACTTTCTGGGATAGCTGGATGTTTAGGCTTGACTTGAATTTTCACATTGTCAGCTGTGGGGTCCGTCATTTCTCTAAGGAGCACTGACTCTGTTTGTTTATTATTAATTAATTCATTTATTTAGTGGCTATACCACACAGCTTATGGGATCTTAGTTCCTGGACCAGGGATGGAACTTGTGCCCCCTGCAGTTTCATGCAGAGTCCTAACCACTGGCCCACCAGGGAAGTCCCAACACTGGCTCCATTTAATGCAGAGCATTATTTATCTGGACTCTAGGTGTGCTTTTTGTTATTTAGTAGTATTATTGCTAGAACCTCTCAGCATATACATTTAGGAAATACGCATGCACATTTATACCACTTTTTGTATCTCTATTACACTGTGTTAAAAATGAGTTCACACTGATACCTCCAGTTCCAGTCCAAAGCCAGTTCTTCTAGCTGTCCACCATCCCATATTTGTAACACTTTTTTTCCAAGATAGTTAGAAACCTGACTCCCATTATCTTCAGTGTGTGTATGTATTGTTCTATTCTTCCTGTTTGTAACCAAACTTGTAGCCATGGCAGCAATAAACTTGACCTCTGATTTGTCCTGTTGTGCCCACCCCTCCGGAAAACTAGGCTTCAGAAATAACAATTGGAATTAGCCCTGATGACTTGTGGGAGGGGATGGGCAGGGAGGTGATAAGGGGAGGAAGAAAGATTAGAGGCCAGTTAGAAAGCTTGTCCTTGGACACCCCCTAACCCCCACCTTGCTCGCTCAAAGGTCAGCGTGATAGGGGAGGGCTGCATCACATTTCATGGTCATTCTGGCTGCTGTATGGAGAACAGATTGAAGAGAATGAGAAAGAAGAGACAGGGTGACTGGTTGGGGAACTTGTGGTTAGTCTGCTTTCAGGGGAGAGGGGAAACTTTGACAACTGTGTAGCACTGGTGGAAATGGACATACTGAAATCACATTTGAAAGCTGGGAAACCTGTTTTTAATCAGTAGTTTACCAGAGGTGTTAATTTGTCCAGTATACCTTAATAAGAAATAGTATTTTAAGAAATGCATTGGTTACCGAGGCAGAGGTTAGTTTGCTTTTAGCCAATAATAGTAGACAAATATTTTTCTTTGGTGCTAAGAGTTTTTTGTTAACAGTTTTTTCATTGCATGCATTTTAGCTACAGGTTTACACTATGTTGATTAATTTTAAAATGGCTGATTGAAATCTATAATTTGTGGGCCACTCAAAGTAAGCATGCATAATTTTAAGTATACTCTTAAACCAGTTGTATTCATATAAATGTGTGTAATATTTAGCTTTGGTAATTTTAGGTTTTGACTGGTTTTTATATTGGTCAATTGTTTTTTATCATTCCTTTGACACTTAGCTCTGTATAAGTTTAAGGTGTAGTACAGCATAAGGATGTGATGTAAGTCATGAACTGGTGAGTACTGTCAGTTTAGTGAATACCCATCTTTTATAGACACAAAGTTAAAGATGAAAGATGTAGAAAAGAAATCTTTTTCCTTGTGGTGAGAACACTTAAGATTTACTCTCTTAACAACTTTCATATATAATACAAAGCAATGTTAATTACATGTATCACATTGTGTTTGACAGCCCTGGTATCAGTACTTAGTTACCTTATGACTAGAAGTTTGCACCTTTTGACTGCCTTCATCCAGTTCTTCCTCCCCTCAGGTCCCCACCTCTGGTAACCGAAAATTGGATCTCTTTTTCTGTGTTTGTTTTTGAAGTAGAATTGACCCACAACACTGTGTTAGTTTCTGTCACACAGCATAGTGATTCAGTATTTCTGTACATTTCAAAGTAATCCCAGTACGTTTAGATGCCATTCGTCACCATACAAAGATATTACATAAGTATTGACCACATTGCCCACACTGTACATTCCATATCTGTGGCTCATTTATTTTCTATTAGACATTTGTACGCCTGATCTCCTATACAATAGGGAAAAGACAGCTTCTAAAGTAAATGGTGTTGGGAAAACTGGACTACTTCTCACACCATGAACAAAAATAAATTCAAAATGGATTAAAGGCTTTCCGATGTAAGACCTGAAGCCATAAAACTTCTAGAAGAAAACAAAATACACTGTTTGATTTGAGTCTTAGTAATATCTTTTTATGTCTCCTCAGTCAAGGGAAACAAAAGCAAAAGTAAACAAATTTGCTCTCTTTTTCAGATACTATGACCAGATCTGTTCCATTGAACCCAAATTTCCATTTTCTGAAAACCAGGTAAGTCATTAATTTTAATTTGTTTTAAAGTTACATGTGATAATGGTAAATCACCAATTTCCTCTTATCCATGGTATTTTATTAAATGGTGTCTCTTCACTATCTCTAGGTTTTTGTAACACTTTTAAAATGAGAAACTTTGAAACCCACCTTCTATGAATCTGTGCTGCTTTGAAGTGTCTGTTGGAAATTCTGTTCATGCCGTTCCTCAGTCACTTCTGTGATCATGTAGTGCATTGGATTGCATTTTTCTTCCTACATTTTTTATCTGTAGGAAGTATTGACCAAGATAATCTGTGATGTCCTTTCCTTTGGTTTTTACAAAATAAAGTAGGAAACTATATGATTCAGGATGTGTTTAGTTTCAGTGTATGTGCTTTAAAAATTATTTGCCAAAGTTGCATTTGCATATAAATTTGAAGATACTGTTACAGTTAGGTGTTACACTATAAGAATGTCAGTCTTTCTCTTAAAGGATAAATATTGAAAGTGGTGATGATTTCTTGCAGTTATATTTGGGAGACCCGTTAAAAGTTTTTAATTTGTGTGACATTTCTAAATTTTAAAATAGTTTGTACAAAATACTTTAAGCATAAAGTTTTTACAAGTCACGTAATGTGGTGAGACTTGCTTTAGAATACTCCGGGAGAAAAAGTATGTGTGTGTTGGTGTTTGGGCTGGAAAGTGCGGGTAGATGAACAGAGAGGGGGTGTGTGTATGGGGGTTCCTTGTGTTACTTTTAGGAGTACTGAAAATTTCTCTCAGCCGTAGCTGAAAAGTTTTCTATTGGATTGCAATACATAATTTAAAAGAGGCTAAGTTCTTTTTAACCTTCACACTGTGGAATATTTTAGAGTTAGATGCAGTTTTTAATTAAGTAAACTTTTTATTCGTGTATAACATACACACAGAACAGTTAACAAACGGTGTATCGCTTGAATCATCACGAAGTGAATATAGATGTCTAGCCATCACCCAAATCAAGAAATAAAATTTTATCTCATTCTGGAAATTCTCCTACTTAAGTGCCTATTCTATTCAGGTCATTGTGTATTTGTAAAGATGAGCAAGACCGTGTTTTCTGAAGAAGATAATATGTGTGTAATTACTGAGGGAGAATGACATTGGAAATATCCTAGTGCCAATATTTTACTTTCAGAGAAGGAAATTTTATGGTTCACAAAAAGGAAAAGGAGTTGGTTGGAGAAGATAGTGTTTTAGACAGATTGAAGCTTTTGTCCTTTTCTTCAGTGTAGATTTTTCTTTGAAAGAGACTTAATAGTTAATGAGATTCAGGAAGGTAACATAATTTTCTTTTTTCCCCTCTCTTTCTATCAAGATCTGCTTGACATTTACCTGGAAGGATGCTTTTGATAAAGGTTCACTCTTTGGAGGATCTGTAAAACTGGGTATGTAATTTTTAAATAAAAACAACAGGAAATTTGTTCTAACTGTTTTGTATTGTTTAGTCTCCAAAATTGCTCTTCTAATGACTCTGTAAATAATGAAAATTTTTATGTTTTGTTTTCTTTTTCACTTCAACTTTTAATGCAATTTCCAAATACTTGTAGAGAGCCTACGTCTTGCCAGGCACTGTCCTAGTTTTAAAACTGAACAAGATAGTTTTGTTCAGTCTGGTTGTAAGATAACTGATCATTTTGAAGTATAGTGGGAAGTATATTAATCTCTGAAGAAACGTATGGGCACTTAGACAAGGAAGTAGTTAATTTTGCTTTTGAATGCACGTGATGTTTGAATGAATCCTTGAAGGATGAATTTTGTTTTTCCAGGTAGAAAGTAATGTTACAGGTAGAATATCATAACCAAAAGTCAGAAGAGTGAAGGCTTTTTTTATCTACCAGCTCATCATGTTAAACTTTGTGTGTGTTAATTTTCTCATCTCTGAAGTGGGATTAGTACTATTTCATTGGTTTATTTCATTGGTTTCTTGTGTGGATTAAATGAGTGGAATACATGTAAAGTCCTTAGAATAAGGCTCAATAAATATTAGCTGCAATGAATAATATTAATATTACATATAATTATAATATATATAATGTTTATGCATTGTAGGATATATACTATATAATATTATATAACAGTGTCATATAGTATAAGTTACTATACTAATATGTATTAATATGATTATTGGTAAGAGTTGAAACTGTGGGTGATTTGGGGATTTTGGAGGGTGAAGACATTGGAGAGTAGATTGTGAAAAGTTGCAAGTGTGCTATCAATTTGTGTTCTTCCCTCATAGCTTATTCCACCTGGGCGCTGTGAAAGGGCTTTACACATACTATCTAATTAAATTCCCTCTTAGCACAGTGAGAAAAGGCACTATTGTTTCTAAAACTGTTTTAGAAAGATAAGTGACTTTCTAAGATTTAATGAAACTGGATATGACTCAAAAAGCCTAAATCCAGAGACTAGAGAGAAACAGACCTGTTAAACTGGTGAGAGATGAAGAGATTAGACCAAGTATCCTATCTGTGGGTTGGGGAAAGGATGGTTTTGAGAGAGGATTCAGAGATGAAACTGATGGATCTGCTGGCTGTCTTATCAGAAGAAGGAGTAGGAGTTGATGATTGACTTTAAGATTTGTAACTTGGTTTGACCGGTGGATAATTATTCCTTTCAACAGATAGGTCAAGTTTGACTTTTCTGTGTTATATCTAGGTAGAAATTTCTCTGTGGCATTTAGATATAATGTATTTAAAGCTCAAAAGAGGTGGAGACATAGATTTAGGAACAGTTTCCTTAAAAGATAATAAATTTATCTCCTCTGGTAGACTGTAGGTTGGAAAAAGTATGAAAGCCAAACTAGGGAGTATAATTTTCAGGGGAGATAAAAGGAAGAGTTTCCTGGAAATGAGGTTGAGAAAAGGCTTTCCGATCTCTGAAGAACCAGGGGAAAACAGAGACGGGATTGAATTCCAGAAGAGTTTCAGAGGTTGTGCAGTCCAGTGGTTCCCAAACCTGGCTGCACGTTGCAGTTACCAGGGGAAAGCGTTAGAAATACTGATTGTATTTACAGACAAGGATACAGTATGCCAGATGTGAAAGGAGGACCTTGCAGGGTGGGCCACTGGAATTCATCTCTTTGCAAATGCCTACATGTGACTTTGCTGTTGAAACATCGTTCTCAGAGTTGTTGTGGCAGAGGTCAAAGAAGGTTGTAAAATTCGCTAGATTCCCGACAGCTCAGTCGATAAAGAATCCACCTTCAATGCTGGAGATCTGGGTTCCATCCCTGGGTTAGGAAGATCCCCTGGAGGAGGGCATGGCAACCCACTCCAGTATTCTTGCTTAGAGAATCCCCATGGACAGGGGAGCTTGGCGGGCTACTGTCCATGGGATCACAAAGAGTCAGACATGACTGAGCGACTAAGCACAGCGCAACACAGGAGGAGAAAGAAGTTTCCCTAGGGCATGCTGAAGTCAGGTGGTGTTGGGTTGAGGAATGGACCGGAAGTTAGGAAATGCAAATAGCACGTGTGGGTGCTGAGCAGCTCAGTTCAGAAAATACGCAGTGACGATTTGGGGACAAAGGGATCCTTATGCTGGGAGAGAGGAAAGATCAAGAAAAGGACCTCCAGTGCTGCTGTGACAAGCAGATTCTGTGGCTGAGAATAAGGAGCGGTATCGATAGAACCAGGAGACACTTAAGTGAGATAGGTAAAGTTGATGAACCGAGATCCTAGAGGAACTGGGACGGAAAAGAATTGGGTGCATATATAAAACAGGAGGTAGAAATCATCAAGGCATTTCTAGTAGCAGTTATGGGGGATTAAATGTCCATCAGTAATGTTTAGGGTGAATGAAGCATAGGCTGCCCATTCCTTAGAATATTGTGTAATTTAAAGTATTAAGAATGATAATACAAATATATATTTCTTGACATGTAGACCTGTGTCCACTGAATATCCAATAAAAGACATGTTACAGGTGAGACCTGCTGTATAACTTGGGGCCCCACCTTTTGTATAAAATCCAAGGTGATTGCTACTTCCTTGATGAGAAATATGTCAAAATAAAATGGCAGACTACAACCTGGGGGTGATAATGTTTATGGGAAATATAATAGGCTGGGATATATATTTTGTATATAAAAAGTTCACTTTTATCTGTTGCTTGGAGTATATTTCATTTTTCTTGATGTCTACTGACTATCGTATATTGGATGAGCTGTTTTCATATTTACATTGTCACTTTCTTGTATGGCTCTGTGTGTGCGTTTACAAGTTTAATTGCTCCACCAACACATACATTCTGTGCTTTTATCATATTCTCAAGATTTTCCAAACTCTCAGTCTTATTATTTATCTCTCTCGACTCCCCTTTTCCCGAGTGACTCTTCTGTTCCCTTTGGCCTCTTCTGTTTCTTCAGTCTGAGCTGTTTGCTGTCTAAAGCTGCTCCATGACTATTATCCTTTAGGTTAGAATCATTGTTTTCTGAATATTGTGTGTTCCTCCTTCACTGGAATATATCTTTTCTTTTTTTTTAATTTTATTTTTAGTTTTGACTGTGCTGAGTCTTGCTGTGTGTGGGCTTTTTATAGCTTGGTGAGTGGGGCTACTCTCTAGTTGCAGTGTGCAGGCTTCTCCTTGCCGTGGCTTCTCTCACTGTGGAGCACAGGTTCTAAGGTGTGCAGGCTGTAGTAGTTGTGGCCCACGGGCTTAGTTGCCCCATGGCATGTGGGATCTTCCCGGACCAGGGATCAAACCCGTGTCCTTGGCATTGACAGGTGGATTCCTAACCAGTGGGCCACCAGGGAAGTCCCTGAAATATATTCTTAGATAACTGTCTTAGAAAAGGTAAAATTTCTGCATCTCTTCTTGGGTGAAAATGTCTGTGGTTTGTTCTCACATGAATTTGGTTTGAAATCCTGGCACCTAGTGCTTAGGTCAAGAATCTTGGCATCATTCTTGATATTGTTTCACTTCATTGTGCACATTCAGTGAATTCATCAGCAGATCCTATCAGATTTTCTATGAAAGTTATTCAAAATACAATCACTTCTCAACACTTTTGCTGTTGCCTTTGTGGTCAGAGCCACCATCACCCCTTGCAGCAGCTGACTGTCCTCATTTCTGGCTTCCACCGGTACTGCTTCCCTACAGCCTGCTGTCCCCTGGGTGGGCTGAGTGCATCTCTCTTCAAAAGTGTTTATTTTACTTCCCACCTCACTCAGAGTAAATGCTAAATCATTGCAGCAAAAGTTGACTCTCTTACCTCCCTGACAACATTGCCTCCCATTTTGTCCCTTGTTTCCCCTTTCTTCAGCTATACTGGCTTGAATATATATTAATATTTGTTGAATTAATTAGAATTATGTTTCTTCTTTGATAATCTCTTCATTTTTTCTTCTCTTCTCTTTGGAATACTGAATTAACCAAGCCTGCTTTTCTGAGCTACTCACTCAAAAACTTTCACATTTTCCCTTTCTTTCCCTCTTTATGGGCTGCCTAGATATTTTCTAACCTTTCTTTTGAAAAACTTTTAGTAATCAAATTTTCATTTCCAGGGGCTTTTTTTTACTCATGGATTTTCTTATTTATAATAACATCCTGTACTTGTTTTATGGGTGTACTATCTTTGAGTCTCTTTTAAGGATGCTCATGAAGATCTTGGAAATGTTGCTTTCTATTACTGGAATTGTTTTTGTTTATTCTCGGTTCAGATTTTCAGTTCACCTTGATCTTTATTTTTTTGCATGTTCTACTCCTGGTTATTGTAGATTGTTAATACATTTATTTAAGAAAGTAGGTTAGAGTATTCTTCAGTAATCTTGCCTTGAGAACCCCATGAACAGTATGAGAAGGCAAAAAAAATGACATTGAAAGATGAACTCCTCAGGTCGGCAGGTGCCCAGTATGCTACTGGCGAAGAGTGGAGAAGTAACTCCAGAAAGAATGAAGAGACGGAGCTAAAGCGAAAAAAACGCCCAGTTGTGGATGAGAGTGGTGATGGAAGTAAAGTCCAATGCTGTAAAGAACAATATTGCATAGGAAACTGGAATGTTAGGTCCATGATTCAAGGCAAATTGGAAGTGGTCAGACAGGAGATAGCAAGAGTGAACGTCGATATTTTAGGAATCAGTGAACTAAAATGGACTGGAATGGGAGAATTTAATTCAAATGACTGTTATATCTACTACTGTGGGCAAGAATCCCTTAGAAGAAATGAAGTAACCCTCATAGTCAATAGGAGTCCAAAATTCAGTACTTGGGTGCAATCTCAAAAATGACAGTCATTTGAATTAAATTCT